AGAAAATTCAAATAAGAAATGAGATACACATGTTCAACTGTGAGGGTGATATGCTTTAGCCAAACACAACTTATTGAGCTTAGTACAGAGAGAACTCAGTGAAATGTAATGGTCTGTGATATGCAGAGGGTCAGATTCTATGATCTAATCATTTCTTCTGGCTGAAATCTCTTCATAAAAAATATAGTTCAACCATAACTTATGGCCTAAAGAGAGGAATTGCTGCATGAAATTCAATGATTAGTGCTTGTACAAGGTAAGGTTGGAAGTGTCCCTTCTGGCCTTACAGACTAGGAATGGATGAGTGTGTTCAAGTAGCTTAAGGGTGCAATGCATGTTATGGCAAAAGCCATAACGGCAAGAAACTCCCGTTGAAATTGTGTTGCCTGTGGTCATCGTGGCTATGTCCACGCTAGCATGTAGTGTGGCCAACAGGGACGCATTTGTTGAGTGAAACAGTTGAGGAGCCAATGTCCCTGCTATACAGGGATGATTTTTACTCTGTGCTAATTCTGCTCTGATCCTGTGGACTAAATGCCTCTTAGCAGGTGGAGTGCATTAGAGCACGCTTTCAAGTTTGGTGCACTCTGAGACGTCTCTGAAGTGTAAACCAAAGCATGATAAGTAGGGATGATGAGATTCGCTATGAAAACATACTCTTGATCCAACTTAAGGGTGAATGTAGAATTACCGTATAGTAGCTTCATTTAAAAATTTGCTTGTATCTAAGGCAATTTCATATATGTCTAGCATATAAAATAAAGTAGTGTGTTCTTGTCTTCCCAGAAATTTTGTTAGAATACAGAAACTTAACTGAGACTTGAGTTGGTAGATTGCCTGATACAGCAATAAGCCTCAACAGCAGTCTGTTCAGCAATGCATATTGACTTGTTTGGGCTAAAGCTGAGGTTTCTCGCCATAATGTAATAACAAGAATGTGGTGTGTGCGCTGTAGTCTTAAAAAGGAGAATGTGGGATCATGGAGTCCTTCAATGAAAAGTGGTGACATGTAAAAGAAAGATGCGTTAGTTGTACATTTCCTTTTTTTAAAGGTAAGTGTGAGAGATATGCAAGTAAATATATTCCTGGTTTTGAACTAGGATTTTTCACTGTGTCAATGGTATATAAATTTATTCTGGTGACAGCTCTGCAATGGCCTGTTTCCAAAGAAGGCAAAGTCGCTAAGTCCCTAAAAAACTCCAGATGTTATCGTTTTTTCTTGTTATTAGCAATTACTCACTTGGAATTGTCTAGAAGTTTTTGTACTTAATAATGAACGGTAGGAAGAGTCAGCAGAATCATGACCAACCAGATCGTGAAGCTTGCCAGTGCTAAGAACGTGTACGTTCTTCTTGTTTCATAAAGAAGGATTTTTTTTCTATAATAATTGTACTGAAGCAATGCTGATTGTAGTTTTCAGAAACTGCAATATTCTTTTAAAAGTAATTTTACTGCCTAAGATACTGCTCCATCCCCAAAGTCATATTTTATATTTTAAACTGTTTATCTTTAAGATGTATTTATTGCCATGTTTGTTTAACTTGGTTATCTCCTTCATCAATCTATTTCTTACTAACTTAAAGCTGCTGCTCTTTGTTTTTAGTATAGAAAGCTGCTTCCCTAGGGATGTATAGTCCAGGACTTGTCTCTGTAATGGGACTATTTGTTTTCTTTGCCCCTTGCAGTTGCCTGCTGTAACATTTGTAGTATGTGTTAAGTAATCCTTGAGGTAACATTTTTATTATGTCATAAAAAGTGCGTGGCAAATATATAATAACTCATGGAATTTGTTTGTTTAAAAATGGAAGGATAATTTATTGAGTGTGTTACATGAAACCTGCTCCCCGTTATTAGAGCTGTAGAAGTGCAGCTTATTTAGAAGTATGTTCTATTGAGAAAAACCACGATCTCTGACATGCATAGAAAGTTTGAGCATGGTTGGGTAGAAATGACATCATAGTTTATGTACTCAATAAAAATTTAATTAAGTCATTACAGAAGTTGCAGTCATCATTTAACCCTCTGATTTCTTATGTTTAGTTCTTTTTTTTAAAAACATTTAGTAATAGCCAGTCACCAAATCTTGATGGCCTATAAAATATCTGCATGAATTTTAATAACTTATATTAATGGAAAAATATAAGTAACTGACATAAAAGGAATTTTCCTTGTGTTTGCACTATAAGCAGTTCTATAAAAATCAAGTGATGAAAAAGATAGCAGTTTAATGGAATAATGTTTGAACTGGACATTCGATAGTATGACAAACTAATTTACATTTTGATAGGAAGTTGTTGCGTAAACACCAAGGTTAGTACTCTTAAAGATACTAAGAAAGTATTTAGGACGTGTGGTTCACACTGTCATAAGTATTAAGATTTTAGATATGTTAGATTTCACAGCTTTTCTTTAACCTTGTGATAAGCTATACACCAAAGACAGTAATGCTCATTCCATATTAGAATTCCTACCCTGTACTCCTGTTTGCAGTTTAAAAAAAAACAAACAAACAAAAAAAAAACTTGCCCCCTGACTGCAATCTCGTAGATAAGCGTTCTGCTAGCATGCAGGATTGGAGATAATTTTCATTTATACTTATGTTGCATGCACGGTCTGTAGAAAACAAATGCTTGGTCTGTCTTAGATCTGTCACATGAGTCAATACAAAGAAGAAGCTTTACCAAAGGAAGCATAGCTCTGCCCTCATGAGACGAACTGTTTATTAGATTGTTTTGTTGACAGAAATAAGAAGCATGGGGAAAAGGAGTAACCAGTTTGCATGAGGGAGATGCGAATGAGTTATTTCAGCCATCACTCTGGACCTAGCAGTCTCTTTTTGCTCTACCTAAACTCACACAAGGCTCAATTCTGAAAGCCAATGGGTAGCTCAGGCCAAACTAGCAAATATTTAAGCAACTGTTAAATTTAGTTAAAAGTCAATGTGGAACATAAGACTGAGTCATACAGCATAGGGGGATGTAGCTTGAGAATCACCAACTCTGAAAGAAACTTAGTCATAGTGAACAATTAGTAAGTCTGAGCTTCTAGAGAGATGCTGTAGAAACAGAATTCATGTGATTCCTGAATGAGCAAGTCAATATTGACATGTAATTAAGAAATAGTGGTAGGGATGGTGCCTCTATCTTTAGCATTACAGTACTTTTACTGTAATAGCATGTCTAGCTCTGGAGCCTGTGTGTTAGAAAAAATGTTGAAAAACCTGTGAGTTTCTAAAAGTTCTATATGAATGAATCAAGGTCTGGAAAACCTGCATAACAGGTAAAGCACTTACAGAGCAGTTTTCATTATCTTAGTCTATGCTGCCACTGAAAGGACAGCCTTATCTTCACTCTTTCTGAGGCAGCATTTTGTCTCTGCTCATGTAGCTAATGTCAACACTTGGCTGAAGATTTTTTCTGCCATTTGTATATTCTTACTAACGTTGACTTTGACTTTTATTTGTGTAAAGAACTAATGGAGCTGTTTTGTACGTTCTTCTGAAGTCACTGACTACGTGAACCTCACAACTTAGAGAGAAATCCTGACATATCCCACAGTAGTCTGTCGTCTTTTCCTACTCAGAATGAAACTGGTAATATTTTTTTCATCACCTCCACTGGTTTAGAACCCATTCGAATGGTTTTCTTTTTTATTTTTCAGATTAATTCTACTGCTCTAAAAGAAGATTTGAGAAGTATGGTAGAAAATTTCTATGCAGCTCTGTTTGGATATGATGAGGTAAGAAGGTATTTTCAGAGAATGATCAGGATCAAATAGGCCATCCAATTCACTGAACAGCAAATGCTGCAGATGGGTAAAACATTTGCCATACATGTTATTGGTTAAATGTTGCCTTACGGAGGCAAACTTCTTAGCCGTTGTGATCAAGTTATGGCTTGGGTTGAACTATCTTTAAGAAAAAAAGGAAATGTATAGCATAGTGATTTAAAACATGAGACATGGAAGAGGAATGTTCTTTGTTCTGTTTTACTGTCATTGCTTGACCATCAGCAAATGATATCCTCCCTCTGAATCTCATTTTACTCCGCTGTGCTTTGAGAGCAGTATTTATAGTAAGTGTCTATGAATATTGGGAAGCAAAAGCATCTTTGTGTACAAGTGTTGATGGGACTTTGAAGTAGAAAATGCAATTGCATCAGCTCTTAGAGCAGATGCTCTAGTGGGTGTTGCTACTGTTGTTCTTATTCACATAGTGATGATATTTTTTCATGTGACTATTTGCATTATTAATATCTTGTAAACTTCATAGAGTATTGGACAATTTATGCATGCAGTTCTGTCCTTTATTTTTAAGTATAGCCAGGATGTGTATGTCTGTATGTCTTTTTCTTTCCTTTTTGTGTTGACAGTCTTTTTAGAAACAAAATGTCTAGTTAAATTAAAGACAAATGTTGACCTTTCATATTTTAACTGAATATTTTAGTCTCCTCTTGCCTTTGGCAAATGTGTCAGCAGAAGATAGGAGTTATGAGACTGTGGCGATAGCACAATATAATCTAAAAAGACAAAAAGTTCTCATGGATGTGACTGTTGTGTAAGCTAAATTTTAAAATTAGATTTAACTGGAAAAATCTAGATAGTTTTTTGATGATAAGGAGTTCTCTCCTTCTCATTTAGAATGAGGCAAATAGTCAAGTCCAGATTGCTTTTCCAGAACATCGTATTATATATCTTTTAATTTTTAGTTTTTCAAGTATCATGGGCTTCACGCAGTTCTGTAAAGTGGTGCTGTCTTCTCTGTAAGGCCTATATCTTTACGGTAAAGATTTCAAAACGGAGAAACAGAGTGGTCAGCTACTACATTAGTATTCCTGCTACATTAGGAATACCCCCACCCAGATTTTTCTCATTGGCTGAATATTTGTTATAGGTTGAAGTATTTAATCTCCTATAAGATCAAGGTGGTTTTTCATTCTGAGAAAGAATGACGTTGATGCCTTTTGATAGGTATAGTCCACAGTAGCTGTGGGCTTTGAGACATCTAATGTTGTCAGGTGCCAAGTAGTTAGAATAATGGATCAGGTTTGTCCTGTTTATATATTATCTTCACGTGCAGTTTTTAATCCCCCGCCCTTTACTTAGGGAATCTTGTGTGATGATCACGTTCTGGCAGCAGCCCTTTGGAGAAACCTTTTTAACAGGAACTGTGAGGACCCTAGGCATCTGGAGTTACTCGTAGAGTACGTGCGCAAACAGGTACGCTACAGCTCATAGCACAGCTTCTCTTTGTTCTCTTGTTAGGATATTGAATGTTTATTTTTTATTGCCTGCATGCTATGTAGCTCTGTTCTCTTTGCAAGTATAACTGATTTTTATATTCATTTGTTATTTTTAAGGAGAAAAAGGTAAAACTGTAAAAACTGGCTGGCATTCATTGCAGTTGGATGAAAAATGGCTACAGAGAAATTCACAGGAGATTGAAAACAACCATGCTTATTCTTTTTCTAGACCCAGGCTATGGAGGGGCTTGACAAAGCGTGTTGGAAATGGGCTGCAGTTTGTTACAGAATTATACTCGATGTTGTGGAGTCATCCTTGACAGTGCTGTGCTTTATGGGGCTTCCTGTAACTTAATATCTGCCAGGGCCATTTAAATTACTTTTGGGAGCCTCTCCTATGGCCTAGAACCGGAGCGTTGTAAAGAAGGGATTAAGTTGCCTTAAACCCATGGAAGCAAGATCTTAAGAGGGAATGCTATTCTATAGCCCTTCGTAATGAAATGCCACTGTGATTGAAAGTCTCCTGATGGACTTTATGTGTAATAAGCAACAGATTTTGTTTTCTGGGATGATTTAAATTTCTTTCGGTTCATACCCAGAGGAGAAAATGTCAAACAGCGTTTGTCCTCTCAACCGTTAGGAGGCTTCTGAATTAGATTTCTAGGAAATGCTGGATAGGAGCTGATGGATGTAGTCCAGGGTGGGTTCCAAAGATGGAAGAAAGGGTGACAGAGAAGTTCCGGAGGAAAAATGTAGGCTATTGGGCAGGAAATTGAAGGCCAGGACTTCCACAGTAGCATTGTCCGTAATGTTTCCAATACTGTATTCAAGATCTGATAGGTATTTGGAGAGGCAGTATTTCACTCCGATTCTGACAAAAAGGTATGGGAAGTGAAAGGCTCAAATTTGTCAGGGACTGAGGACGCTTCTGGAATGCTGGAGTGCTTCTCAGGAGGGTCAGGTTTAATATGTCAGGTTGCTGATGCTTAACATCAGGGAGGTCGTAGGAAAGTTTAAAACTGAAGATAGGCAGGAAGCAAACAAGTGTAGAGAGCATGAAATTTGGGACAATTTGTCCACCAAGTGGGGAAGTCATAGCAGTGCTGCATGCTCAAGCAAAGGATAGGACAGAAGCTATCAGCAGTCAGATAGGAAACAGCGATCACACAGATAAATGTGGCACACTGGGGAAGAGTCAGCATAGCTTTTCTGAAGGCCAGTCTTGCCTCATCTGTGGAGTTACTTGAAAGAGTTACTGATGCTGAGGACAAGAAATACCTGATTTACCTAGTCCTTCAGATTTCTAGAAAATCCTAGGAAGTTCCCACCAAAGGCTTTTAAAATAAACTAGGCAGCCACAGGAGAAGATCAAGTAACTGATAGGAATACAGGCAAAAGAGGGGCAAATAAATTGTCAGATTTTAACAGAGAAGAGGTTGTTACTAGATTCAGGGGAATAGGGGTGGGAAGGGCTGTGTGCTGTTCAACATAGTTTTAAGTGAAACCGAAAGGGGAATGAGTTGTGAGGTTTGCTGATACTAGGCTATTCATGGCAATGAGTAAGTAAGCATGAGGGTTGCTTGCAGAAAGATTTCATGCAGTGAATGACTAGATGAAGAAATGGCAGATGCAGTTCAGTGTAGACAATCATAAAGTGATGCACTTGGAGAAAAAAACAGTCTCAACTTTTCATATACAGTGATGGCTCTAAACTGTCTATTACCACATCGAAATGAGCCCTTGAGATTATAAAGGGGCTATCAAAATGTCAGCTTAGTGCTAAGTAGTGTTAAAGTAAAACAAATGCTCAGAACTAATAAGGAAGGAATACAGAATAAAACATAGCATTGTCATGCCACTTTTTAGATCCATGGTACTCCTGTGATCTTGAATAATGTGTACAGTTTGGGTCCCTGCCATCAAGAAAGATCTATAACCGTACTGGAGAAGGTTCTGAGAGGAGCAGTAAGGTTGATATGAAAAAGCTTCTGTATTAGCAATGACTAGAACTCCCTAGTCTGAAAGAAAACAGCTGAGAAAGAATATGAGACAGCTCTGTGAAATCTTGAAGGCATATGGAAGGTGAGGTGGAGTAGGACCAGACGATCTGCAGAGGCCCCTTCAAAGCTCAACTCTTCTGTCATTCTGTGGGGTGTGGAAAGGTTGTTCAGTGTCTTCTGATACAAGAACTTGGGGACATATGTTGCCACAGGTTGCCTGGGATGCTAAAATGTATATGGGTTTCAAAAGCCACAGGCAAAGGTTATGAAAGAGAAATCTGTCGAGGGCCGTTAAATGTACAGCCACCTTTTCAGGCCTAATATCCCTGAACTAACAAATTGGAGAAGGCAGGGAGAGTAAACAAGGCAAATAGCACTGTATGTATGTGTTGTACTTAACTCCACCTGAAGAATCTGCTACTGGTGACTGTCAGAAGCAAGATATTGTGCTTAGGTGGCTCTTCAGCCTGGTGCTGCGTAGCCGTTGACACATGATGTTCTTTCCTTTGCTGAGAAATTCCTTGTCAGAGTGTCGTTTGTTGCTAGTAAGCATTGGAAATTCCTTGCGTAAGAAATCTTTTCCGCACTTTCTTGCTGATCCTGTCTTTAACAGTGGCTATTAGTGGATGCCCAGAGAAGAATATAATAACAGGGCAAGCGTGTGTACTATTTTCCTGGTCAACTCTCCTAGCAATCTGTGTTCCCAGCCTTCCTGAGCCAGAGGTGGTATTTTTGTGTTTTAATGCCCCTTGATGGGCTTTTTTTTTTTTTTTTTTTTTTTTAAAACCCTTGCTGACTTCCAGTGTTTGCAGTGTCCTGTGGCAGCGAGTTTCACAGTTACCAATATATTAACCCTCTGCTGTGTGAAAAGTTGTTGTTGGTGGTGGGTTTTTTTGTTTTTTGTTTTTATTATTTACTTTGCACCTTATCATTTCATTTGATGCCACTTATTTCTTGTATGGTGAGAATGGGTATACATTCCCTGTTCACCTCCTCCAACCTACATGCTTTTATAAACCTCCGATGTCCCCTGCTAGTCAGTTTTTTTTTCCATAGTGCCCTGGTCTGTGTGAAACCACTTCCTGGAGCAAGCGCCCCAGTGCAGGTAATGGTGCTGGTAACACCTCGTCCCAGTTAACTGCTGGCAAGATGAGGTGAATCACAGGAGCCTCACGCGGCTCCTCTTTGTCCTGTGGCCACGCTTCGGCGGAGGCGTGAGCTGCGGCGTGAGTAGAAGCCTGCGTTGCAGTTGGCTCCGGGGGCCCTCCCGAACCCGCCTGTCGCTTCCAGGTGCAGCACCTGGACGCCCTGAGCGGGGAGGAGCTGCTGCTGACGGGCGAGGTGAACTGGCGCCCCCTCGTGGAGAGCGACGCCCGCAGCATCCTGAAGCCTCTTTCCCCGGTCTACAACGATGAAGGACTCTGAGAGCGTTGTCGCTTCGCCCCGGGATCGGCTTCTCAGATCGGCTTGGGAAACTTGCCTCCGATGAAACTGGTCTGGTGTGCTGGGGTCAGGAAGGGAATAGCTGCTGTTGAAAGAATATGTTTAAATAGATGCCCTGTCTGCGGTGGCTCGATAGCAAATTGGACAGCTGTACTCTGCTGAATATTCATCTGTGATTAAATGCTTAGTTGGTTTGAGAACCTTTGTCGTTGTAATGGCACTGACTGGTCCTTGCAGACAAATTCCAACCAGACGTTTTACCATGAGTTATAGTTCTCTCAAGAAGACATATCTGTACTTTGCCTCGTTTGGAGAGCTGCTAGGTACAGACACAGCGGTGTTCCTCTGCTCACAGAATGGTGTTGAACACAAATCTGAGCTTTGCTTATTAGATGTTAATATATTCCAAAAGCCTGACATTAAGATAGAATGGCCCATTTTTGCTTTAATAGAGTTGTGAATTGCTTTAACAGATTCTAAAGGATTTTCCATGAAAATTCTTCTTAGGAACTCTGCGCTGTTGCACAAGGATATGAGGATGTAAAGAACAATGTGCCGTTCCCACTAATCCTCTATGACTAGCCATCCTAATGAGAATAAAGTGTGAAACATGGCTGGGCTGTCACTAAAAGCTACCTCAGAGTACTTGGTATTTCAGAGGAGCTCTGCCTTGCTGATATTTCCACATTCTTTTTAGAGCTGTGTTCTAGTTATTCCTTTAGGAAAATAACATCCCCATTTCTGGCCATGGCTATTCATGGGATGGGACTGTGCTATCCCCCACGCCCAAAGCAGTGGTCCAGAGCTTTTTAACAAGACCTGTCAACCCCAGTTAACACTTTACACAGATGGGCAGGCAAATTACCCCTACGTGATAATTATGAGCGCAATTGCACCACTGATTAAATCAGCAGAGGCTAAGGTGTGCTGGGTAGGTGGATGGTTTACTAGGCTATTTCCAGGTCAGTGACAAAGACTGTCTTCATTTCTCTCATGTCTAAAATACTAATCCATAATAAATGTCAGTCTGGATAAAGCTGATGTGCATGTGTTTTCTGTGCCATGTGCGCTTCTGATCAGAATAAGCCCTATAATATTAGGACTTATTCCTAATAAAACTATTAAACAAAATTAGAAGATAATAATCCCTAATTTCTGATCAAATGCTGTTATTTCTGGTGAAAGTGTGACTGTGCCAGCTGTAACTGTTCTTCCTTCTGATGTTGCTTCCTTTGGATTGTATGTTTTGGTGAATATTCAGCATCCCTCTTCTGTGTGAAGAACAGTGGGATGCAGAACACAGGCTCCTAAACACTGGTTTGCATTTTTTTAACCTTCTGTTAGGGAGCCTTCTCAGTACTTAACAAAATGCTTTTTTTTTTTTTTTTTTAAATTTTTTTTCCAAAGCGAACTTCCTCAGTTTAACTTGTTATAAAATGAGTCATGTAAAGAAACCCTCTATGTGTGAGGTGTATCCCTCCTCTGTGAAAACATTACAGACCAAACAACTTGCTTGCAGTTTATTTAAGATGCTTTTGTTGAAAGCTGAGCTAAGCAGAGAAACCTCTTATGTGTGAAGTATTATACAGTGTGTGTGAGATAATAACACCTTGTAATTCATTACAGCTGGGTTGTATTTACATAAAAGAAGGCTGAGCTGTGTAGGAATTTGCTGATTAATTTATTTTTAATGGGAGTGAAGTATACCAAGTACCAAAATAAACTTTACTTTGTGTATCTTACTGCTCCTGGAATAGGTGGAAAAATTAATGGTAGATATTTTGGCTCAAAGCTACATACATTAATTCATATACAAAACAGTCATTTAAACTTTAACCCCTTTCCTAGTATGTAATTTTAAACCTAGATTCATGTTATCCATGCCATGGGAACACAGGATTAGGAGTACACCACCTTCCAACCCAGAGGACCTAGGGCACACAGGTCTGAGATCACGTAGCGTCTCTGGTACTGAAGCTGTGAAGGCTGCAAACTAGAAAACATGGGACCACTGGTCTGGGATGATGGTGTCTTTTGTACTGTGAATGTGGGACACCATACAATCAAAACCTTTCCTGTATGTAGGGATGGGAGTCTCCAGAAATTGTGGTGCTCGATTGTGGTCACTGGCATGTGTTTTTGCACTTTGATTAATATGAGAATAGAAAGACCTCTGATCAAGGTTCATTGTTTTTTCATAAAATGCCTTCATACACCCCACTGTTACAGAACTGAGCCAGCAGTCAAGGTGTGTTTTGGAGAGAAGTGGGTGGAGCTTATTAAGAGAATAAGACAGAGACTGTCTATGAATTCAAAGAGAGGCCTGCTAAAGAGGAAGAATACAACGGAGGCTGCACGGGGCGAGAGAAGAACTGGCTTCCCAGCTATTGATTATCTGGAAACAGGATTTGGGTGTAGACTATGAGAGTGTCTTTCTGGCTCTTGAGAGATGCATTGCAATAGGACAGAAAAATCCTGTTTTCTACATGTTATATGAGAGAGATCTTTACAGCCAGAAATTAGAGCCCTTGAGGAAAGCTTGCGTTTCCAATAGCAAAATCTGCATCTCACAAACATTATGGCAGCAATGATTAGCAGGTAATGTGATTTCTGTGTACAGGCCTGAACCCAGTATTATTAAGCAGGCATGTTGTAAAGGCCATCTTTTCCTATTTTCAAGGTTTTGGAGAGGGAATAATTTAAGGTGTTTTGCTTTTGGATAGTTCTTTGTTTATGCTGCTGTTTTTCTGAGAGCAGTCCCAGAGCATCAGCTTGGGCCACTTACTGTATTTTGAGTGAATGTATGGATGTGCATTTCTTCTGACAGCAGCCAAGTTCCAACCCTTTATCATCCGGCCTAGCCTCCTGTCTCATATATAGAATTCAGACGTTGCTAATTATTCTAAAGAAATTGCTGTCCAAAATTACCAGTGTCATGAGGCACCAGCATCTAGGAAGCACCGAATATTTCACCTAGATCTTGGCTTCCTTGTTCCTGTGAGCAGAAAACATGGGCCAACAATCAATGTTTTCCCTTCCATCTCTGCTGCTTTTGTTCCAGCAGGAGGGTAGGTGCATGTTTGGCTCACAAGGTCACACTTGCAGGCTCTCTTCAGACTGAGACAACTTGGGGTAGGAGGAGTCATCTGATGTAGCTCAGGCATCCAAGGGTATTTTAGATGGTTGAATTTTCCTGCAGTTCATGTCATTGCCTCTGTTCCTGTTTGCACTCCCATTTGGTATTTATATCTAGCTGTCTTCTCCTGCTTCTTAGACAGCTGAAGTGCTAAAAGCACAGGCATCCTTGATGATTCCCACATTTCCTGTCCTGTCCAGGTGCCTAAGCCCTGTTAAGAGTACAGTTACTGCTCCCGAGAATTCTGAATCCTGTCTTCACCTTCCACACAGTGCAGTTTTTAGTCAAGCCCTCAGGCCAGAGTCGCGGCTCCTGACACAGCAGTGGGATTTAACCACTGACCTGTCTCATTTATCCTGCCTTTGGCTTGGCAAATAGCATAAAGAAGAACTGGAGACTGAGTAAGAGCAAATTTTTCCACAGGAGCTTTAATGTAGTAGATGTAGAATAGCAGTGTGGTAGGGGGAGAAGCATAAGTTGGGAGAGGATTGTGACAGGCTCTGAAAGCATGGTCACTCTGATTTATGCCACTGCATGACACCTTTTGAAATGTGCGTGACACATTTTGAAGAGCAGTGGGAACCAGACAAGGATGGACCTGGACCGGGAGGCTCTGACCCACCCTGTATTTTTACACACTCTCCTACCTCTGCAGCGTCACCAAGGAGACCTGCATTCAGAGATTCGGATCAACACAGATCTGATGCAGTCTACTTGTGGCGTTCTGTGGGACAAGTTTAATCCTGAGCATGGAACAAAGGTTGTCTGCATCCTAGAGGTGTGCTGAAGTACTGCTGCAAGCATTTAAAGAAGCATGTTGATTGTCTACATGAGCATCCTGAACAATTCATCATCTTCTCTGAGCCCCAGAACTGGACTGTGTATGCTTTCTTCCAGCAAGTTGAAAATACCAGAGTGTTGGGAGTGATAGACATTCACACCAATACCTAGAAATTGCCTAGTGTCTTTCTAACTCTTCTGCTAAGAGTTATGCCATGAACAAAGTGGTGACTTGTTATGACTTCCTATGGGTTCTCAGGCCACAGTGCAGATGGATGCTTGTGGTCTTAGCCTAGTACATGTATTTTTCTGGATGATACTGGTGATAGCTAGTTTTTTAGTAGACACCCCATTATCTAGGCCCCTGTCCTCTGCATCTGCCTCTTTACATTTGGCCTGCTGTGTCTGATCGCTGTTGTCTTTTTGTACCATGAACTTTAATCAAAACTTTTTTCTCCCCTTTTCTTCACAGGAAACTGATAAACCTGTGCCCCCTTCTTGCTGCTGAACAGTGCTTCATCAGGCTTCATTTTGCCATTAGCATGCTAAAGTCAGATTAAAACCTCTTTCAGTAGTCTCGGTAGTGGTATTTCTAACACTCTGCAGCATGCATGGGGGAACACTGTCTCCATCCTTTGGGCATATTGTGTCTGCCGTCTGGACCTCAGCAGGTCTGAGAGGTCAAGGAGAGGGCAGAAGCTTAGGAGGCTGAGAAGGTTGGTAAGGACATAGGAAAAGACACTGAGGCTGAACAAGTGTGAGTATTAGTCTCCATTGCTTAGGCAGTTGTGCTGTGCTTCTGAAGCGTCCACCTTTTCTGCCTGGGAAGGGAATCTTGCCCACTGCTGTTGGTGGGCTGCCTGCCTTCCTGCACTGTGATGGGGTAGTTCCTTATTAGTAGTCTTGTGATCTTTCCCAGACTCCTCTTTCTTTCCTCCTGCCTCTTCTTCAGCTGCTTATGGCTGTCCTGTGCATGAGTTCTTCCTGAAGTTGCTGAACATGTTGAGGGAGTACTCATTTTGCTTACAGTCATTCAACCTGCTCAGCAGCTTGCTCTGCTCATTTGTGGGACAGAGGAGGTGTCTGGGCCTCATCCTTCCACTGGGAATGCAGAGCAGAACCTCACATAAGCATGATCCCCTCGTTTCCTGCTGCATTTCAGTGGCTGCTCCAGGTGTGATGTGCTGGGAGCACCCAGTGAGTTTAGGGGAAGTGGCAATAGATCTGTCTGAGGGACCTGTGACCTAATGAAAGCATTTTGCTGTATGTGAGAGTAGGAACCAGAAATACCTACTATCCTGTTTTATGTCGCCTTGTGCAGATTCTTTCATGTAGGAGGACGCTGCAACCGGTTGTTGAAGCTGGATCCTGTTGATGGTGATGTGCTAGTGCAGCTCTCCCAGGAGGTAAGGGCTGCTTCATGCTTATTTAGGAAATAAGGAGTCTTGCAAATGGAAAGCTTTCATTAAGGGTTGCATCACTCACTAAAGGAGTGAGCAGAGATCATGTTCATTCCTCATCCCACCAGCTAGCCTCCTGGGCTACTCCACATCCTGTCAAAACAGCGCATCCTGTGAGGATTTGCTCATTGTCCCACATGCTTCCTTTCATACCCTCTTCCTGCCTGTAACTAGATCCACTGATATTACAATTTCCAATTCTGTTTCTGTGTATCTCCTTTGGAAGGAGAGACAGAAGAGATGGCTGGAAGTGCTTTATCACATGGAGCCTTGCTCACATGTAGGCCCCTGCCTGTTGGCGCTTACAGAACAGCAGCCTGGAGAAGAGGCAGGTCCTTCTCATGAGCCTCTCGCTTTCAAGGGCTGTGGTCACTTTTCTGCCTAGCTCTGAGCTCCCAGAAGTCCTTACAGGCCCTGCAGGGCTATTGAACAAACCCTGGGTGACGAGTGAGAAATGTTGATGGGACCTACATGACAAATCCCTGTGTTGTCCAAAGGTTTGTTTACTTTCCTTAAGGAGTAATCAGAAGGTGTAGCAAGCACTGACATCCGCCCAGGCTCTGCAGGCATTGACAAAATTACCTCAGCCTTGGGGTGGTTGTTCTCATCTTATGATGCCTTTTAGCTCTGCTCTAGCTATAAAATTAGGTTTCTAGAAAGGTGGCCAATACTTGCACAGCACTCACTGTAGTGAGTATTTATTTTGTATTTAAAATGTACTTCCTCCTGCCCCGATACAAATGGTAACCCCCTGTTGGTCAGCTTGGATGTTCTGGGAACTCATGGAAGAGCTGTGGAATTATAAATTAAAAAGAACTCGTCGGAATTGAAACCTTCATGCAAGTATTGATGTGCCTGAATCCTGGAGTGGGGAAGGCACCAGCTTGTGTTTGGACAGGCACCAGCAAAGATGATTGGCAGCTGTATTGGGATGATAACTCTGTTTTGTCAGAGAGCTATCTTGTCTGTTTTGAGCTGCAAATCAGTACCTGAAGCAGCTCAGCCTGGACCCCAAAGTGACACGGAGTGACTCTGTGACCATGCACTGGATGCCCTGTGTGGCATAGGCAATATAGGGATCTCAGATCAGCAAGAGCATGTATGCTGGGCATGCTGCTGAGCAGGGAGCTAGCAGAGGAGGTAGGGATGTCCAAGAATCTTCCCTGCCAGCACTCGCTGTTAGATCATTTGCCCTATAGCCAGCAACTAGTATTCAACCCTGTCCTTCAGCTGCATGGGTGCGAAACTATATCTCCCCTGATTTGGAAGAGCCTTAACATATGAATGGAAAAAAATGAAACAAGGAGCTCATGTGCTGCAGCTGTGTTTAGAAAGAGAACGATTCTGTAGTGCTGTGATCAGGAAACTCAGTTGAAAAACTGGGACATTTATTTGTCTTTGTGCTGCTCTGTTGGTGAGTTCAGTATTGACACAGATCTTGGTGCAGTAATTAAAATGCAGACCTCTCCCATCTAGTTGTGTGTCCTAGTTGTTAGAACAAAACCAAGGTCACTCTTGCTGCTTTCATCTGGCCAGCGAATCTAGAATTATTGTCTGCACAGTGGAACATTTTTAAGGAGATGCCTTCCAGAAAAGCCTATTGATAAGTGCATTTGAGCACCGTGATGTGTGATGAGAGATGTGGATTTAAGTACTGAAGATGAAAAAGGGGAGACAAAGCACATCCAGCTTCCCATGTTCCAGGTGAGTGCTCTCCAAGAAGCATGTGGTTATGAAGAGAGTTAGCAGGCTCCCTTGCATCTGTGCTCAAAGAGGAAGCAGCATGCACATTTTGTGGGAAGTGCAAGGTGTTTGTATTTGGTGAACTCCAAGAAGATCTGTAGTGGGGCACGTGGATGAAGTGCTGCCTAATTTTTGGATCCCAGCTGAACTCGGGTATCAGCTAGTTGCCTAGGAACGTTCACTTGGAAGTGGGATTCAGTATGTGTGTTTAGCCAGAAGGGAATTTTCCCCCATCTTTCACTGTTGATTATAGAAGGTGTATAGACAATGCTTCTAGATAAGGTCCTAAGTTCTAGCTGGCAAAAATTGGCTGATGCGATTCCCACATCCTGTATTGGCCAACAGACTGAAGAGTGTAAATTACAGACATTCATCTCTTTGCCAGACGGTGGGGACAGGATACCTCCCATCTAATTTTAAAAGTCTCCACCGTAAACCTGGGTCACTGACTCTGGCAGCCTAAGCTCGCTCTCCTTATGCTCAGTGAACAAAGATAAGCACTTTCATGGCACAATTAATCTGAGCTGTTTAGATGTCTGCTTCAGGATGAGGTAACTGACTCCCTAGCCATCCCTTCCTCTCCCCACTGACATTGAAGAAGGCCAGGCTGGATGAGTTTGGCTGGAGACATTTGCATGGTGGGTGCTTTCATGTATGGAGGTCCACGAGAAATTACTGGAGGGAGAGCAGATCACTACTGAACACCAGCTGGAGAAAGAGTTGAAATCCCTTTACCGTACCAGAATTAGAAGTAGTGATGTTATCTGGCAGAAAACACATCTGGTGACTTCCTTTAAATTTACAGTCTTTTTATCTCTTCAGGAAGGCAAAAGGAAGCGTGATGTTAATACACAGTACCCTGGGAAAGCAGCTCCGGAGAAAGGCCTCTCATATCTATCTAACAGCCCCTTCCCTTGACTCTGTACATTGATTTTTTTCAAACTTCCTTACATTCTGTTTGGTTTTTCACCTCACGATTTTAAGTTATGCTTTTCTTTAGGCTGCTCCAACACTGAGTTGCACCTATACAACTCCTGTACCAATACCATTATTATAATTTTGTCTGATATCTGTTGTCCATGGCAGCTAACTCTGCACCTACTCTCTGCTGGCTTCGTTGCAGCACAGGTCCGGCAGATTACTTATACTTTCTGATTAAATATACCTTGGCTTCTGTTCTTGCAGTTTGCGCAGTCCTGGTACAAGTCTTCATTCTTACTTCAGCAATCTAAAGGACTAAACAGCCAATCTAAATAAATCATCTATCTCCATCTCTAGTCAATGGAGAGTGATAGCCCCTTGAGGGTGTGATTTATCTCAGCTGCCCTGGAAGCCGGTGTTTGAATGTGCTAGAGAGTAGACATTTAGCTTTTAGACAGCCTAATTTAGACTGGATAATTTAATCTGTGGGGTTTTTGTAGCTTGTAGATAAAAGGCTAGCTGATTACATCAACTATCCAGCCAGTTCTTCATGCTATGCTTTAACATCTTTCTGATTATCCTCTGTAGAGTTTAGCAGCTGCAGGGTAAGTGTGATGAATGGGGTGGGGGAGGTCCGAATTGCAGTCTGGGGACTGCTATGTGCCTCCTGTGCAGAAATTTTCTTAGGCTGCATTATGTACTGAATGTGTTCCCAACATAGTGTTTTAACTTACTATTAGTGTCTCCGCCTGTAGTGTTTGTCCAAAAATAGCTGCATAATAATTCTGGGTAACTGGAGTTAACTAATCCCCAAAATACCCAGCCCATGGACAGTATTGTCATTCACACTGTACCAGCCTCCTGTGTTTGAGTGCTCCCTTCCTTGAAGAATTTCCAGGAAGATGCTAAGTGACCATATGAGCTATTACTCTCGTAGTTTGTGGTATTTAATGATGTGTGCTGTGCTAAGATTCCTGCCATGCTTCATACAGACACTGTGGCCTTGTGATATCAAAAAATGGTGTTTTGGCTTCTCTGCTGGGTGCCAGTGTGGCAAATCCCAAGTTCCCAGGAAATGCTCATCAGGAACCAGTAGCTATGGTTCAAGAATGAATGAGTTTCTTGGCCTAGTCTCATTACCTGTTACAAAGGATATTTGTATTTCATTATAACTGCCACTGAGAAGCATGTTTGATTTGGAATAGATTTCAAGCAGGAACAAGTCGCAACATCTGCATTTCCACTGTGAGCACAATGAGGGACAAAACAGGTTAGAACCTGCTTGGCCAAGGGTGGGAACGTCACAGGAGTGAAAGGGAGGGCAGTGCATGAATCAGTTACAGGGAAAGGGAAGGAGCAGATTGAAGAGCTGATCTTCCTCACCTTCAGAAGGTGAGTATCAGGAGTGAGGCTGGCAAAGCTGAGCAAGGGAGCTCCTCCCCCAGAGTGGGAGGCTGTACCTGGTGATTAACTCCCAAGCAGAGGAGTGGAGCTCATGTAGAATCCTGAAGGAACCTGTTGGGAGGTAACTCAGGAGAGTAAGAGAAGGCCAGGAAAGTCCTGGAATCTGCCAGAGGACTAATCCAGCTAGAGAGGCATTTCTTAGCATCAGTAGCTCTGGTAATGTTCAACTACCTAGCAGTAGAGGCAAGACTGCAGTTCCACCGCAGCTATGGAGGCCAGCAAGGGGTGTCTGGACCACTGAAGAGCCGTCTAGAGCAGCTGAAGAAGCCATGGTGGAGAGAGCCCACCCCGCTGGTGCTCCAGCACAGTGAAACAGCCAGGCTTGCCATAGATGCCTTTCTTGAGCAGGGGGAACGTGGCTACCTGTGTGCCATTGCTGAGGAAAGGGAGCTACCTTTTCTTTCCTCTCTGGACATGGAATATATGAACCATCAGAGAAGCCAAAGCTTTCTAGAACCCGGTGTCTCGAAAGACAAAGAGGCCAACTCTGCTGACATGGACATTGGGGACAGGTCCTCCCTCTACTCCGAGCTAACATCTGGCACCTACTTTCCACTTATGTCTGATGTGCACCCTCCAGAGCTGGAGCTGGGATGGCCAGGGATGCCGCTACTCACAACGTCTGGCCAGACTAAAGCCACTGCGATTTTCCAAAGAAACAAGGCTAACAGCATTAAGGATTTGCTTCGGTCCCTGATCAGCCGGGCACGGACGGTACGTATAGAGCTGTGTCCCTTGAGCGGGCTCTTGTACCACAGCACCTATCTTGGTGGTTGTTCCCACAACAGTACCCCAAATGATCCAAGTTGTTGTTGCTGTCTAGATGTCTGGCGTGACGTGATTGCTCTTTTTCTAGCAGATTTATAACTGTTCCTGCTCCTTTCCTTTCTTGTAAGTTTTTTCCACCTGGGATTTCATGTCATTTGGGTAGTGCCCTTTAAGGCTCTCTGCATCTCTATTGGCATGTACGCAGAGCACGGTATCAAGGCCCAAAGCAAGTGATAGGGTGTGCAGCGTTAACGCTTAGCTGTCCTAAGCCAGCAAGCATGCACCATCAGGCCCATTTTGCCCTCCACCACGGAGTCTGCAAGGCCAGGGCTTGTCTTGATCCATGGACGTGATATGAAGTAGGACAAGAGGATTGCACTGGTCAGCTGCTGTGGGAGAACATAGGCTCTAAGTAAACTTTGAACATGGGGGACTGAAAGTCCCTGCCTATGATTTGCAGTAGGTTAGACTATATCATCATATCTTCTAGCCTTGATGTCTGTGCCTCTCTGAGTTTGAATAAGATGAGCCCATTTTTGCCCTGTCATGCAGTTCCTGCTGGGTATGGATTGCCAGCTTTCAGACATAATAAAGATTGGACAATGACAATATTTGCCTGTCAAGCACAATCCTGATGTGGGTGTGCTCAACTGAATTATGCTCCTTATTTTTTGTTTCTTTTTACTTTGCCATTATACTATGTACTAGAGCAGCAACTCAGACCACTATCTCAGATACGTTTTCCGCTTTTATCACCTTTGTCCTCTTTATGGCTCTTTTCGTGTTTTCCACATTCATTCTCTTTTGTGCTATTTCAATAGCACAATATTGCTATTGCTCAATAGCAATAACTTTTAGTGCAAAGTTCACTTTGTGCCAATCAGTCAGCTTCTAGGCAATTTCTCTTATCGCTCTAATAGTTTCTTATTTAACTCGACAGTCACTCCATAAATCCATTACTATATAGCATATAAAGTAAGGACTAAAGAATTGTTAATCTTGGACTTCAGCTGTGTCAAGAACACAAGCCATTTCCCAGCAGATCAAACGAAAGCATTGTCTTCTATCACCATCTGCAATACTGAGAAACACAGTTATGTTGTCCCCCGCAGATCCAGCTGGGGCCATGCAGCAGCTCAGACTGCTGTGCAGCTTCATAACGTCATTGAACAACCACATATCATTGAAAGTCAGGCATGACAATGAGGTAAATGGGGATCTTTATTTTTTTTTTTAAACCAAAATAAGACCCTTTTGCGACATAAGCTATTGCCCAGTTGTAAGCAGCTATTGCTTAATACCTGAATGCGCCTTTATAGGCAAATATAGGAAGTTTTGTTCAGGAAGTAAGCCACAAAAATCTTTGTTTGTCCTTGCAAGCAGCTGATTTATGACATCCTAAACACTCTGAAAAGTCCTGTGACAGTTGTTGCGTCATTTTAAGAAACAGGGATTAAGACATAGCCATGGACAAATGCACAACGTAAATGATTTCTGAGGAAATGTCCCCTTGACACCTAGCGCAAGTCCCAGATCTCTGATGATGTTTTAATCAGCGTGTTGCACCCTGATTCTTCAAACCACATGAAAAATATCTTACTACTTTCTCAGTTTGCATGAACTTGCCAGTTGCTGCAGAGAGGTTGCCCAGGCAGTAAGCACTCACAGAGGTGCTTTCTTGTACACTTTGAGCTTTTTCCCTTTTTCTGCTTGGCTTGGAAAGGCACTGAGAATCTTCAACTCTTTACATTCAAGCTGGGGCTTTTCATGCAACATTTTTGACTGTGTTGTGTAAAATGGGATAACAAGCTGTAAACCATCTTATTGGTTCATTACTAGTGTTTTACTGACTTCTGGTTTAGCAGATCTGGCCAATGCTTCCCATGATTAACTCTATGATTAACTCTATGATTGCTTCCCATGATTAACTCTCTGAACAGCAGTTCAGCTCCTTCACAGTCCCAGTTTCACATCTTTAAGTAGTTCACTGATTCATTTTGCTCGTCAGAACATCCAAAGGGATATTATTTGTACAGTTTTTAATATCAAGAGAGCAACCAGAGGTAAAAAAAAATCTTTTGTCTGAATTGGCAGTAGCAACCCAACAGAGAACCACCTACTTTTCACTTTTGAACTGCAGGTTTTGCAGTGCAATGGTTCAGATGCTTTCTGCACTAGACTTTAAATTCTCCCTGCACCCCTCCTATGTCTGTGTTCTCTTATGTGCTTACAGCTAAAACAGAAGGGAGATAGGGTGCCAGTGGGATGTGGGAAAGATATCAAGATCCCAAAAGGCTTCTCCTGGGTCCTGTAGACAGGAAGGTGTGCATCTTGAAATGTTGTTTGCGGTTTTCTCCTGGACAGTCATACTGAACAACATCAGCTGATGTGTTTTGCAACAGCATATTTGTACTGACAAATCATCGAGATGGACGTTTGTTTTATTGGTACTTTTTGCTGGTGTGGTTTGTCTTTCTACTTTACTGTATTTAACCACCTGTCTTTGAAGATATATTTTCAGATTTGAGCTTTTCTTTTTGCAGATGTAAGAAGATGCAGCATAACGACACCTAAGCCTTCATTTGTTAATATTATTACAATTTTTCTTTTGTTGGATGAGCTCCAAGCTATTTTGAGATGTTCAGACTACTTTTCTCCCCCCTCTTATGCAACTCTGACACTGGCTGCATGTCTGCATTTACATGCAATGGTAGAAGGGTCTTTAATGGTCCCCAGAGAAGCAATATATTGCTTCAAGTGGCAACACTACAGTAATGACCCAAACCACACTGCTATTGGCAAATACCAGTAAAACCAGCTGTGCTGGTTAGAAACCAGACAGATGGCAACCCCAGAGGGATGCTGGTAAGTGCTGTAATTCCCAAAGTGATGACTGCAGTCATTGCTGAATTGTGAGTTTCCAGAAGTGGATTCTGAAATGTCATGATTTAACCCTACAATGGCAAGGAGTGAATTTTTTAGAGCCTGTGGGGCAGCTGTGTCTTTGTGGTGTCCTGGCCTGCCAAGACTGTGCCGTGGGCTTGGAGGCCGTGATCAGCATGGTGAGCACGGGATGATGAACAGGGAGGTTCTGAGCCGCCCCAGCCATGCAGCTCCCGCCACGGAGGCCAAGGGGCTGAAGGCACTGGATATACTTTGCTCAGGTTTATAAGGCCAGATTGACTTAAATGCCTAAGGCTTTTTAAACATGAGACAAGTTGTCAGGAGCCTGAGTTGGAAATGGTATTTAGCTACTTAACTTGTAGTGCCGTATTGGTCTGTTGAAAATTACGTTTGAGGTTTTAGACCTTGCTTTTATGACAATACTGCCTCCTTAGGAGCTTTCAAGGGGAAGACTTCCAGGGTCTCTTGGCTTTGGGTCCAGCTGAGGTTACTGTAAGAGCTGCCTGCTTTGTTTACTGAGAGGACACTGATTGGACTGGCCCTTACAGTTGGGCTGCAGCACATAGGCTTAGTATGAGCAGCCCCCAGCCTACAGGAGTGCCCTGGCAAGGGCGCCTGCTCCTCCAGTGCACAAGGCCATGACAGGGCACATTCTGCCCTCTCACCCCACCACGCTGCCCTTTGTTGCAAACCGCAGTTCATGCAAGGCTGCCAGCCTTCCCGCTTTCTTGCCCCAGCAGCAGCTGTGGGTGCTTGCCAGCACCACCAGGACCAACACTACCCAAATCCCTCCTTGTGAAAGGATCACATGTGAAAAGGCTGTGAACAAAGCCGGAGCTTGTTGCACCTCCTGATGCCAAGCAAAGACCCGCTTTGGAAAACATGAGTCTATCACACGGGGCTCCACCCATCTTACACAAGCCAGCGTCCTGCTGCCTGGGGCGCCTGTTCCAGTGCCAACGCCAGAGAGCTACCATGAGGTTGCCAGGAGATGCAGATCTGCCTGGCAGCCAGCTGCGTCACAGCCTGGGGAGCGGGATGCCGTGGGTGACTGTTGCCCAGACTGCCCTACGCAGCCATGCGAGTGCCTGCTCTGCCTTATCCCTCTCACAGTGGGCACCAGGGACCAGGGGTGCCTTTTTTGGACAAACAACAGCCCCAAGCTCTGCTGAAGCCTGTGAGCACCAGTGGAGACGAGTCCGCTGACTTGTTCCTTCTGTGCACACTTGGCATGCATCGTGCAGCTGAGCCCAGAGAGTTTGGGGCTGAAGGAGCTTCGTTCTCTCTCGAACTCCTTTGTCGTATTGGCTTTTCAAGCTAAGTTTAGATTGTCTCTATGGCCAAGTCTGCCCCAGGCCTAAGCCTCAGATGAGCCGGGATATTGTGAGGCAACTGTGGCTGAGAGGGACTTGCCTGGGACCCCGCACAAGGTTTGAGCTATTGTTTTTTCTTGCTGCTTCCTCATTAGATGATGCATAGCCCATAAAAATCACTTGGTTAAACTGCCTGGTCTTACAGCCCTTGGTCTTCGGCTGAAGGCCAAAATGGAAAGACATAGTGAAGTCCCACTTTTTCTGTAGGTGTCAGCAGCACCTAATGTCAGTGGCCCAGCAGCAGAGTTAATGTGGGAAGTCAAATATGTTTCTCTCACTGCTTTCAGAGACCTCCTCCCAGAAGCTGACCCTACTGTCCATGCTGGATGCTAGGATTTCAGGAGGGTCAGGAGGGGACGATGGTTTGCTAGAGCCTCATATGGCTTCTGGGAAGACAACGCTGGCAAGGGCCATGGCTGTTTGGAATCAAGCTCTGAGGCCTGTGTTTCCTAGGACTGGGCTCAGAGGGTGGAGGAGAGGTGATTTTGGCCTAGACAATAAGAATGTTTTTTAGCTCTTGCTGAGGAGGAGAGGTATATTGCTTTCTCACAGCTGCCTAGCCTCCTGCTTGGATACCTGGGAGCACCCTGACATCTAGGAAGGTACTCCCTCATACCTTGCTGTGGTGGGCTGTGGGGGGTCTGCTGCAAAAAGGAGAGGACATCCAGGCTCTTGCATGACTGCCAGGAAAGGAAGAGGAGTCCTGGGCCTGCCAGGATGGCCTGCCTCAAATACTGGGGGCTGGGGACACTGCTGGGTCTTTGTGGGCATTCAGATGGACTGAATCTGGGAGATCATGTAGCAAGAGACTGCCTGGTGGACTCTGAGGCCATGGGGACCTAGTGGTGAATAGCAGGGACACGTTACCTGGAGACCCTACTTGTACCTGGTAGCCTCCTGCTGCATGGCTGTCTGTGCTTCTGACATTGCGCAAGTGAGTCCTGCGTGGGGCAAGTGCTGGCCCATTGCATGGGCTGTAGCGAGAGCATACGGGAGAGGTGCTGTGCCTGCAGCTTCCTCAGGCCATGCGGGCAGGAAGAGACGATCAAGGCCAGTGCTAGCATGGTGGCAAGCACAGCTGTGTGAGGTGCCTCACAGGGACAGTGGTCTTCCGGAACAGTTCAGATGAAGCCAAGAAATCTTGCCCACTTGCAAAGGGCTAAATTCACAAGGAGCAGACATCTCAGAGAAAAACCTTTGGGCATTCCT